CCCATTTGCGTTTACTCCCATCAGCTCCAGTATGGCTTACCACGACGCCAGCATTATATCCAGTAGCCCCGTGAAGCCAATGCAGCGGCCCATGGCTACCCATCCCGACAAAACCAAGCTCGAGTGGATGAATAACGGCTACACAAATTCAGCAGTTGCAAGCCACGGCATCCTTACGAGCTACCAGGAGCTGGTGGAAGACCGCTTCAGGAAGCCGCACGCTTTCGCCGTTCCTGGCCAGTCGTGCCAGTCGTACCAGTCTCAGCCGCGCCACCACGATACTCACTTCGGCCGCGTGACTCCGGTTTCGCCCGTGCAGCACCAGGCCGCCCCTGTCAGTAGCACCACCAAGCAAGAGGGCTTTGCTGTGCCTGCTCCTCTGGACAACAAAGGAACTGGTTCCTCTCTCAACAACAGTCTGAGGTGCCGGAGCGTGAGCCCCGCTGTCCACCGCCAGCGTAATCTCAGCGGAAGCACTGTTTACCCTGTTTCGAATATCCCGCGCTCGAACCTGACACCTTTTGGAAGTCCAGTGGCTCCCGAGGTTCACAATGTGTTTGCCAACATCCACGCAGACACCAGTGCCAACAACATAGCGCAAAGAAGCCAGTCGGTCCCGTTGACTGTGATGATGCAGACGGCCTTCCCATCTCTTCAGAAACAAACAAACACTAAAAAAATCACCAATGTGTTGTTAAACAAACTTGATTCTGATAGCGATGATGCGGTGAGAGGTTTGGGAGTGAACAACATGCCTGCAAATTACACCGCCAGGATGAATCTCACTCAGATTTTGGAGACGTCTGCCGCCTTTCCTAGTGCCAACCCACAAAATATGATCAATTCCAGCACTTCAGTTTATGAATTCCAAACACCAAATTACCTCACGAAAAACAGCAGCACCGATCAGATCAGTTTTTCTTCTGGAGATAACCAAGCACAATCAGACATCGGAGAGCAGCAATTAGATTTTAGCAGCACTGTAAAAGACCTTTTAGGGGAGGACAGTCTGCCAACAAACCAGCAGCTGGTGAATCAGGTGGCATCAGACCTGAGTAACGATGCATCTGTCTTTTCCAGCGACATCAGGTTGTCTTCCGAGCTCTCAGGCAGCATTAACGATCTGAACACTTTAGACACAAATCTACTGTTTGATCCAGGTCGTCAGCAGGGACAAGACGATGATGCTACACTGGAGGAACTGAAAAACGACCCCTTGTTTCAACAGATCTGCAACGAGTCCATTAACTCCATGAGTACATCGGGTTTTGAGTGGATGGAGAGTAAGGATCATCCTGCTGTTGAAATGCTGGGTTAATCTTGTTTTATCGTATGTATGTAGCACACTATCTGCAAGACAGACGTATTGTATTTGTCTTAATGGAAGTGCCTCCCGCAGCAGAAACACTTGCTATGTATTGCGGCATTTTATAACCAGTTTGCTGCACCCTTTGCTCGTTCTTCAGCAGGGAGAAGGCAGTCGTACAAATTTGAAACAGATCTCCGGCGGTGATGGCCTCTCAAAGAGCCAGTGTTAAAATCTGAATTTCGCAGTGTTTCCCATTCAGCATTTCTTATGTAGCAGATGAAGGAGTGGTTAATGGCCCGCCATCAGTGACAGCTACGGTGGGGCTTTGGGGTGGGGGTTAGGTCGAGCTCATGGGTAGGCTTTCTGTGCTTCTCGCTGCTTGCGACTTCTTCGTAGGTGATCCTTACTGACCGCTGTCACGCAGGATGCCTGCAGATAGGTGGGTGCTGGGGCATGGGTCGGAGACGTGCAGGTGCCTGCTCACGGCGTAGCTGTCTTCACTGCTCGGTGGTGCACCGTGGGAAATTGCGGGAGCACCGGTGCCGTTGACATCTCCAGCAACACGCAGGGTCAGGAAGAACTAACAGGAGTGATCAAGGAACAAGAAAGATGCACTAAATATTTTATTTAAGAGAAATAAATCTATGTAGTTACTTTAGCCATTAATATTCATGACGTACTTGATATTTTAGTTCTCACTTCAGCGTGCTTATATTAGATAAAATTCCTGCGAATAGGTGTTGAGCACTGAAGTTTAATCTAGGCCTAGCACCCTATTTTAACCTGGTAGGTGCTGTTCCATTATTTATTAGCGCTAGAGAAGGAACGTGGCATTTTTTTTAAATAAAAGAGCTGCCGGGGCTCATTAAAGTACTATTTTTAAGGATTCATTTTTTAAATTTGCTCTTTCCTAACCTGGTGGAGGGTGTGGGAAGGCGTTGTTTTCTCTGCATTTCAGTGAGGAGAGCCTTTCTGTCCTTCTTGCTCGCTCTTTCTCTCAAACAAAAGGTGATTAAAATGTTAGAAGATGTGGTTGATCTGAAAATATTTCACATAGAGCCATAATGCTGCCAGGCACTTTACAGATACGCGGTAAGACGTGATCTTGCTTTCGGTAAAGCTTCTTTTAAAAGTACTTCCTGGTTTAGAAGCCCGAATTCCATTTTCATGAGTGATTTGACAGAACTGGTGAGTCTCTTTTTTTTTTTGCTTTTTTGGTAGAAGTCCTTAGCTGCCCCTCTGGAAAATGAGATGTAGACTTCTGCCTCACTAGTTGACTTGAACAGGAAAGGGCCTTTTGGTTCATCAGCAGGGCATCAATCTCCGTAATGGTGCAGAGAGAGAGGTGCTTCACCGGCCGTGGTGCTGGTGCTAGGGGGGAGGACGCGCAGAGGCAAGCTTTTACACAGGAGGGGCACGCTGAGGATGCGACAGTGGCACCCCTTCAGCTTCGTAGCGATTGTCGCTGCCGGCAGCCGATGCGTACGGAACAGGACACAGAGCAGAACACACTCTCCGTGCCTGCATTGCTTCTTTGAGTGAGCAGTCGTGGATTTATGAAAGGAGAGGCACAGTAAGTCTCCCCTCGACCTACGTAAGGGGAAGATGCTCAGATTTTTCAGGTGATTAGTGCTTTTTTGAGGAGCTTAGTGGTCTTCTGCTTCTTCAGTTTTTTGAGATCCCAGTACTGGTCAGGTTTTTTGGCGGTGCTGATTCAACTTGTGCTGCTGCATTGGCACTTGGGGTGCTGGTGTTCCTCGGTGTCTCTTGCTCTTGCCCCAGCTGATCACCAGTCTGTGGCCTCTTCTGCAGGGACAAACAATTGTGCCAAGCTGTAGCACCTTACGGGGGCCTGATTTCACTGTGCTTGCTCCCCAAGTTTTGCCGCTTCGTCAGGAACAAACCTGGAGAGTTCAGATCCCTCCTCGAGGCACGTGGGAGTGCGATGGTGCGGTTTGCGTTGCTGAAGACCAAGTGACCCTTGTAGGGTTTGTTAAGGAGACGGGAAGGAGGCTAAGAACTGCCTGGTAGCTGCCTGCTTGTCCTGCCGGGCGTCTCTCTGGAAGGCTGGAACCACTTTCCTTGTAGGCTGGAGTTGCTGAAGGCAGGGCTTGAGTTCTTTACCTGCCCGTGGCCTTTTGCCAGGGATGTGCCCAACATCCTCTTACCTTGCTGACTTCACTGGGTCCGAGAGACACACGGCGCCTCTTCTCTCGTTTTCCCGAGCCTGTGTGAAGGGCCAGCACCCCTGTGACTAGGTGAAACCTGCCTTCCCACGAGAGCGCTGCGGGGAGACGCCGCACGCGTGCTGCAGCGGCCCGCGCGTTCCTGTGATGTGCTGGCCTCGCCTCCAGCTCGCTAACGCCAAGACTGACGTGGGCTTGGGGAAAACAAAGTTTTTGCCTAACTCCACTAGTTTTTTTTAAGAATACTTCTCAGAAGAGCAAGAGTAGATTTTAAAGCTGATGCGTTCTAAATTATGCAGCCATCACCAAAGGTTTTTAAAATTCTTTTTAAATACAAGCATTACATTGGGCCGAACGTGACTTAATTAGTGGAAATACTCTATAATCAGTGGATTTAAAGCAAATGTTTCACTTCAGAAGTGCTAAATTCGGTAAGGGTTGTTTCAAGTAAAATCCAAGGCACAGGCACAGCTTTGTACGTTGGTATGTGTTATTTTGGAGGTGTTTGTGTGTTGGTGTTATAACTAATAATGTTAGGTCCCTGTACTTAGTGCTAGTTAGTTCTTTACGCTGCATTGAGACGGAGCACTACTGCACACCAAAGTATGCAATACCCAAAGGAGAATTCTGTGATTCTAACAAACGGAAGCCTGTCTGCGTCAGATACTCCAAAACTAAGAATTTGAGACAGTTCTGACCCCTTGTTTACATTATTGGCTTCCTACTAAGGTGAGAAATAAATTATTTTGATAGCAGTTTTTGCTAAAGTATACAAACTAGTGAATTTGTACCCTGTGTACAGTATTGCAGCAAACACTTTAAATTTGGTTGGTTAGTCCAGCAAACTTACTGGGTTCATATATTGCACTAAAATTCTGTTGAACCTGTGGCAGGCACATTCCTTAGGATAAATGCAACAAATACGGCCCACAGATTTAAAAAAAAAAAAAAAAAAGTGAAACAAAAAAACCCCTTTTTAATGTGTTTCATTATTAAAAGGCAAAATGTCATTAAAAGTGACAGGTGAAATTGTCTTATGTAGCAATGTGCATTGATCTCAATGAGATATTTCTATTTCTTATTCTCTTACATGAGAATATTACAGCAGGAAAAATTAAGTTTAGTTTGCTTCACCATGTTAATACATGATCACAAAACGTGCATGAGTGTTAATGACTTAATCTTGTACAGTACTAGATATATTCCTGTAACCACTTCTATTTTTTTTATTCTTTTGCTGTATTGAAACTGGTTCAGTGTTAACCAGGTGAGCATAGTTATTCACAAGTTACTTACTTTTTTATGTTGACTAATTCAGCTTAGTTATTGTTGAATATGTTCTTTTCTTGGATTATTTTTTATTGTTCTGGTGTTGAAAAACATTTTTCGCATCATTTTATCATGATAAGAATTCATGAAGTAAATAATTTGCAAATAATTGCAATAAGCACTGACTTCTGAACTGAACTGAAGGAAAGCGTTTCTGTGCAGTGCATCTGAGGTTCATATAATAGTCTTGTACTATACTGTGCTTTATTTACTGCACCATAAGGAAAGAAAAACCCCTGTTCCACGTTTTCATTTAGTGCAGGAAATCAAGTTTTTCTCCCCTCTTCCCTGGTGTTTTGTTGTCTGTTGTACTGCTGAAACTACAGTAGTTGAATATTGCAGTAGCATTTCAGTTATTTTTTTTATTGAAAGTGCTCAAAAATTGTTTTTTAAATGTTTTCAAAAACCAATAAAAACATTTTATATTAAAGCGACTTCTAGAGTTTTTTCTTCATGTGGAAAACGCACGTTGAGGTCGACCTAAAATGCCGAGCTTCCTGGTTCGTGCAAGGAGAGTCAGAGCTGCCGAACCGTACTGACGTGCTGCGGGTGCTGAGCGTGCCGGTCAGTCTCCCTCCCTGGGGTGCTGTGGTCAGTCTGCGCTCTCTCAGGGATCTCGTGGGAGAAGTTGGAGGTCACGGCCTTCTCGCCGCTCGCTGGGTGCTGGTGAAAGCGTTCGGCGTGTGCCCGGGTGGTGGCTCTTGCTGTTGAGGCACAGGACATCCCGTGCTGGTATGGCCCTGCCTGGTGTCGGTGCGTGGCTGGTTTTGCCTTTCGACACGGGTGAAGCGCTCTTACGCGGGGGCGTTACGGCGCAGGTTGGCTTGCTGCCCCGAAGGGGAAAATAGGCCGTCCTGATCTATGGAGTTCTTCGTTTGGGTTGTAAGATTCTCTGCAAACCCAGCAGTGCTCCCAGCGCAGTTTGCGTGACATGATGGTAAAGCAGTGCCACGGAGCAGAGAGTGGCTATGGGAAAATGAGGGTGAGGACAAATACTCAGGTTTTCATGCCGAAGAGCGAGCACCAGTTAACGGTTAGACTCCATCCCCAACTACAGAGGTGCTGAGATGAGCTGGCAGGTGGCACCTTTGGTGCTGCCACAAGATGCCTTTCGGTTCGTCAACAAAGAATCGTCAGGCAGAGATAAATGAGGCAGCATGAATGAAAGCATCGGGAAGACAGATTAATTTTAACGTGACACTGGAGGATATGCTATTAATATCTCTGACTGGATTCTAAATTAACAAGCTCTAAAAAAGAGTTCTCAATGAACAATTCATGGACATGCTTTCTCCAGGTTCCACAGCCATAGGAAATGTAAACCAAAAATTCCCAAGGAATGAGATCGTATATAATGTAGGAGATTCAAAAGGCTATTTTAGAAGTTGATCATTCCTCTGAAGTTTAATTGGAACCTCTCTGCTGTAGACAGGAAAGAATGGCCTTAACAGTTCATAAAAAGGGTCATAAGAGCAAACAAGCCTGTGACTGGGAATGGGAATTGCTTAACGGGAAAGACCTAAGAAGGTAGAAATGTTGAACTAAACACAGGACCAAAACAAGTACCTCAAAATGTTGGTCATGAGCTGTGTAGGTT